GTAGCCTCGTCCGCTGAGTTCTACACCAGTCCACTTCCGCAGTGTCATGCCGGAAGCTGGAGATGAACAGTTTTTATGACTGCATGGTAGATCTGTGGTTGAACAGCTTTATACTATATACTTTCATTCTTTTATTTGCACATGTCCTTTAGTGAACATTTATACATTTCATGAAGATAAACAATTTTTAAGTAATCTTAAACATTTCAAGTAACCTTCCCAAATTTGGAACACTCTAAGTCCCCCAAGGAAAACAAATCAAAGGAGTTTTTTCAGCCTAAAAGAATTTTTTTAAAAAAGACTTACATCATTAGATTGAAACAATCGAGTCATTGCAAAGAAGGCTTCTGTGGCTTCCATAGTTCCAAAGTGTTCACCCTAAGTGAAAATTTAAAACAATTTCTTAAACTTAAAAAAAAACAAACCAAAAACAGTTAAGGTTTTCTCTTTATTTCTGCAAAAGTCTTTTAGAATACAGGAAAAAATCTCTTTGTAAACATTCTGCCTCTTTGCTATTTTGCTGGCTTTCACTTTATAAACCTGCAGAGCCACTTATCTGCTCCTTATTTAAAATAATATCACATATCATGCTACAAAGGTTCCAGAATAGTGGTCTCTAACCTTTTAGCAGGAACTATTTTAATTTCACCGAAGAACTGTGATTTACGAGGAGGTAGAAAATGATAGCAAATTGAGTTTCTAATCAGATTCAGAGGTTATTGCTACACTGCCTACAAGGAGAGATCACACCTTGTACGTTTCTATAATCAAATGCCCAACACAAAGCCTGACGTTCTCATAGGCACATAATAAATAATAAACTGTAAAGAACTATTGTTAGAAATCCCAGAAAACATGACACAAAGGCACCCACCGAAAGGGCAGGAACCAGATTAGATACATACCAGTAAGGTTTAAGGGGCTACAAACAGATCTCGAGATACTGGTTCAAGCCTCTAAAAACATGCTATGGATTGGAACTTTAATGTGCTCAATAAATCAGCTGAAAATCGGGCCAAAATGCAGAGTCTGACTCAGTGGCTCTAGGCTGAAGTCTGAAATTTTGCATTTCTAACTAGCTCCCAGTGATGTGAAGGCTGCAGACCTGGGAATTACATTTTTTGAGTAACAGGGTGTTAAATAACTTATTTCACTTATAGTCAAAACATGGCAGATTTCAGACCTGAAACATTACCATTTCAATATTTAAGTTCTTCGTTAAAGCAATCCTATATAATATGTTAGGCTCAATCACTTTTCGGAACTTCAGATTTCACAGACTATAAGTAGACTTCACTCTATTTGTCATGAGTCTAAGAAGCAGCAAATTTTGAGGACACACTTGGAAAGTTTAGGATGAGAGACAAAGTATAATAGTTTACCATGATTTCAATCCAATTTGCTCACCAGCCAAGAGATTTCTCTCTTTCTTTCACAACTATTTCCTGCCTACCTAGAAGTACAGGTACTTTTCAGTCACACTGGTAAAACTTTAGTCCCTCCTTGACTAGAAATTCAGAAAAAATACGGGTATATATGTCAACTCTGATAAAATTTAAAAGTATTTTTTCTATAAAGCTCTCCCAAGGACTAGAAAATACTCAGGTTCCCAAACCTGTTTATCTGTCAGCCTGTGCTTGGAAATTTCCTTACCAAGGTAATTAAATGTTTCAACATGAGCTATTGGCCAAGAGAAAAGTATATGGTACTGTGAACCACTGTCAACTACTCAAAACTGTTTACACAATGGACTGATGCAACTTGGACACGAGGTGTACTATGAAAAGTGAAATCAAAATAACTGTGCCTAAAATGTTTCTAATATGTTACCACAGAGGGATGTGATGTTTGCAACGAGATACGTTTTATTTAAAAGTATGTCCTTTTTGTTCAGTCTCTATTTGCAAACTACAAAACTAAATTATGTCTCTGGATGAGGTCTTCCGTCATGAAACACAGTAAAGGTAAAATATTCTCAAGGAATTCAAACAGGAAACCATAGTCTTCTTAGCACCATATGTAAACCGCCTGAGGGGGTGTGTGTGCATGTGTGTGCCACATTTTCTAAGGCCCTAGATATTTCATGAGATTTTTTAGTCTGAACAAAATAAATAAAATTTAAAAACAAAATTAATAACGATAATGGCAAATAGAATCTATGTTTCATTACGGCAAATATTCTTGGTTTTGTCTGTTATATATATCCCCAGTATCTAAAACGGCACATAGGACACAGCAGGTATGCAATAAACATCTGCTGAATGATGGAATGAAAACTATTCCTGAATGCTTACTATGTGTTCAGGACTATTCTCAATGCTTTACATTTATTATCTCATTTAATCATTACAACTTTATAAAACAGGTATTGTCATAATTTCCATTTATAGAAAAGGAAATTAAGGCACAAAATGGTTAAGCCCAGAATCATATTGTTAGTAATGGTGGAGTAGGGATAATAAATATAAAATGTGACTATTAAAAGCAAAGCTTTAAAACATATACCCACCCATCTCACACTCCAAAAAAGGGTAAAATATCTTTCTGGAATTTGTCTAAGGTTTTGCACTATAATTTTGGAGGGACAAAAAGACCTCTGAACAAATCTAAACAACATGTTTTAACATCAACTAATACTTGTTAAATTCAAATCAATGTTGAGAGTCTATTAAGTACTTAGCTGGTTTAGTACTTCATACATAAAAAAGAAGCATATGTCACTGTCATCCTCAATAAGTTTTACATGTTATTGTGTAAATCAAACACTGTAGATTTTTTAAATAAGTGAATTTTAAAAAAATAAATAATTATTCTTTCCAGAAAGTACTTTATTGCATATTATGTATTTTTATTCCAGGACACAAATCTGAAGAAAATCAAAATAATTTACCTGGTTCAGTAAGTAAAGAATCTTTGTAAGAATATGCAAACATCTTCTTGGATTGATGGGTGTTTCATTGAACAGACGAGCCTATGGAAACAAAAAAACATTGTTATACATAATATATTTTCTACTTTTTCTATCACAGATTACAGAAAATCAGCTTTAATAAAATAAAGACTATTACGTATTTTAATCACGAAATCCAAATAATGTTAGCTGCCTACAGTTTTCCATTTATTATGGATATGGCCTTGGTTTTCCATTCTGTACTCTCTAATTCATTCTCTTAGGCCTACTACTTCAACTTTGAAGGCTTGAGCCGTTAAGAATCAATATTTATCTACATCATTTGAACACAATGAGTTTAATACCTATGACTTCCTTCACTAAACACCTCTTCTGGAATTTTATTTAGTTCTCAGCATGCGGCTGAGTCTGCATGTTTTTGCATTTCTATAAGCTCTAGACTCTTCTGTCTGACAAGCAATCCCTCTTCCTTTTCCTTCAAGTGTATATTCTCTGAACTCAGTTACACTTTTTAATTCTTATTCTGGCTCTCAGCATTCCAGGGGCTCTGTGCCCACCATTCTAAAGTGGAACAGAAAGGAAGGAATACAGTATACTTGGGCCATACCTCCTGTAAAACAGCGCTCTTCTCCAGATGCCGAAAAGGATTGGAGCCACTACCTACAAAACGAAAAAAACATCTTTAATAGCTGTCCTACCCCAACTTATATTGTTCAGAAGGCTATGAAATGCTTGGGCTATCTCATCTAAGTGAACGCTTGGATATTACAGTGATAATCATTACTAATATGCATGTTAAGTTGAATATCATTTTGATTATGGTACCAGTTCTGGCATTGCTTTCCAGTAAGATCTTGTACTTTTGTAGGAACTCCGCCCGAAAGGAGTGTCTCCTTTCCCTTCTCTTCTTTTGTTAACAAAAATCTGTCCTGTCCACACAATTAAGATTAATGAGATTGTGACTGGGCGCCTTTGGACTTCCCTAAAGGCGAGCATGATTTTATGTGTTTCTAACATTTACTGCGAGGCAGAAGAGCTTAGCAGAGAATCATGTAAACTTCAAGCTGGAAGGGGCCATGGAGGTTTTACTAACCTAAACCTCTACAACACTTTGTGAGAGCAGCTATCAAACGCTGAGTTTTGTTTTGTTTGTTTTTGGAGGTGGTTTGGCATCTTCTGCGTTTGCTCTGGACCAAAGCACCAAGACGCAATTCACTTTTGGATGGCTGAGCATTAAATGATCTAGGTATCATGGGACAATGCCTCCCCCTGGGAAGCGGACAGAGTAAAAGGTCCAGGAAGACTGTAAGGTACAAGGAAGGCACCTCAAAGTTCATATACACACACGATGTCCCGTGGATCTCAGACCCACTCTGGGCCTAACTCCATCGGCACCCCTCGCCTCTTTCACGCCGACACCCACCCCCGCCGCCACCTTCGAAGGGCCAGCCGCCTCTGCGAGCAGCCCACCCCTGGCGAGAGGGGCGGGGGCGACTTGGAGGGGCTGCGCCGACGGAGGGGGAGGGGCGG